ATGAAATGAAATGAAATGAAATGAAATGAAATGAAATGAAATGAAATGAAATGAAATGAAATGAAATGAAATGAAATGAAATGAAATGAAATGAAATGAAATGAAATGAAATGAAATGAAATGAAATGAAATGAAATGAAATGAAATGAAATGAAATGAAATGAAATGAAATGAAATGAAATGAAATGAAATGAAATGAAATGAAATGAAATGAAATGAAATGAAATGAAATGAAATGAAATGAAATGAAATGAAATGAAATGAAATGAAATGAAATGAAATGAAATGAAATGAAATGAAATGAAATGAAATGAAATGAAATGAAATGAAATGAAATGAAATGAAATGAAATGAAATGAAATGAAATGAAATGAAATGAAATGAAATGAAATGAAATGAAATGAAATGAAATGAAATGAAATGAAATGAAATGAAATGAAATGAAATGAAATGAAATGAAATGAAATGAAATGAAATGAAATGAAATGAAATGAAATGAAATGAAATGAAATGAAATGAAATGAAATGAAATGAAATGAAATGAAATGAAATGAAATGAAATGAAATGAAATGAAATGAAATGAAATGAAATGAAATGAAATGAAATGAAATGAAATGAAATGAAATGAAATGAAATGAAATGAAATGAAATGAAATGAAATGAAATGAAATGAAATGAAATGAAATGAAATGAAATGAAATGAAATGAAATGAAATGAAATGAAATGAAATGAAATGAAATGAAATGAAATGAAATGAAATGAAATGAAATGAAATGAAATGAAATGAAATGAAATGAAATGACATTTATTCAGTCTAGGCTGTTACAAGCACTTGTGAAGGTCAAGAACACAACGTGTTTTAGTTACTTACAAGTGCTAATTACATATGGACTTAAATTCAGTAGTGATTTTAATTGAATATTTTGAATATTTATTTAATTTTTCAAATTAAAACTGAACTTAATTGACTGTGTTAACTATCCTTTTCCAGTCCTTTTATTATTTTATTGTAATTATTAGCATGCAATTAAAAAATGTTTTAATGATGCTAAAGAAGTACAACTTCTCACGCGCGTACATAAGTTACACGCATCCATTTTTTTTATATTTCGTATTGTATGAACGTTGTACGAAGTTCGCTGGGTCACTAGTACCTATTTAGTAGCGGCCACCTGTGACCTCTCGAACGTTAACTTTAGTTTCTTGAGAACCCCTGAGAAACCAAAATTTTATTTATAGGGATTATAAGTATCATGTGTCGTTTTGCGTGATTGAGTAGCAAACATAAGAACACACAATCATGCAAACTTACAAACTTTCTCATTTATAATATTAAGAAGGATACTCTTATCAATACACCCATAAACTTATCTAATTACCTAACATACAACCACGTGAATCGAGCGGCTTGCGTATTTGTGAGTTATTCATAAAACATGTGCATCTCATTCTCTATCATGTAAAACCTAGAAGCTTTAGCTTTGGAGTGGATTTGCGACAAATATTTTATTTTTCAATAAATACTCTTAATTAATATCACCTTAAAAAAACTATTTATGCAAAGGAACAATAATTAGTTGTAGGTAATAGACTGAAGACTAAAGTTTCAGACATAATTTAGCATCGTGCCAATAGAAACTGATTGCTTTTATCATTTAACAAGCTTAAACCAGCGGAAATGGGATAAACAAGCCTGCGTCAGAATTATAAGATTTTTCTAAGAAGCCTATGCTTATGTTTAGATACAATGCAAAAAAGTAGCTACTTATTTCCCAAAACCTTAAAATAATTATCAAATGTTAATGTTTAAAGATGCCAGTTTATTAATTTCCTTCTAAGAATTAAGTTACTCGTGTCGCTGTATGTTTTTTTAAATGTTTAGGACACGCGAAAGCCTGCATCGATTTGGTATTCCAAAACAAAACCCAGAATGCCTGAAATTATACTAATAACTTCGCATAGACAACGTGGCGCCTGCATAATGCACTTTTGTCTGGTTGCAAAGTTTAGGAACGATTTTGAAATACTGAAAATGAAAAATTGTATATTCACTAAAATCATATATATTTTATAACAAAAACACGAATATCTTCTCTGATTCTGTAAAATATTGCTGAATTATTTAAGGTAGGTTGGGATAAATCTAGAACTAGGTCAAGGGGTGCGCAGCGCCTTTTAAGAGCGCATGCGTGGCGCCTCGAGTCTGCGCACCCCGCCTCGGGACTGCCACAGCTACTGGACACCTGCAATACGACTAACTTCGCAGTTTATTATTCCACGCCTCCGCATGTTGAGTACGTAGACCGTCCATTTGCGATCCCGGTGAGTCCACTTTCAGGATTCTCGCGGCTATACTTACCTATCCACAACACTATCGTTTGAACATACCTTTTCCTCAATTTCGATCGTGACTAGAGTCCCAGTGCTTAGATGTTACGGTGTGATTTACTCGACTTCGTAACCCTTAGCGGTCTAGATGTTAGCGTTAGGGCATGCATGCTTCTCTGTGTTCCTATTACTAAGTGTTAAGAGGCTGTGTTAGCCAGTGTCAGTCAGTGTGTCGCCGGCGTGTGGAGTGGTGTGAACGTTTCATAGCAGATAAGATGTTCGTAGGGGGGTTGAGATGCCGTTGCTAAGCGTAGGAGCGGAATGAGGCGTCACGAGATGCAGTGCAAGGGGGCGAGTCACGGCGGTGGCGGTGGGAAGGAAGGCCCGCAGATGTCTCGCAGCGAGTCGACCATCAGCCGGTGCACGCCGCACACGCCGCTCGGCCCGCCCGACAGCGCCAGCGTCGACTCCAACCCCATGCCCACCATCTATCGGTAACTCACCATCAGGCCCGCCCGAGGGAGAAGACGTAGCCACCCATAAACCGCAACATGCATCATGCGAGTGGATACCTTGCCTCAACCGACGCTCCGCCTCTGGCTTAGCGTGTAATGAGTTCTTGTTTCAGCACAAATACAAATAAAAATAATGTAATTGAAAGAAAAATAAGATATAGTTTAGTAATAGTGAATAATTATAGTTTAGGAAAACTGATAAATATAACTTTGTCATCTTGTTACACGCTAAACTTATCATGTAGATTGGTATTAATAACATAAATTGTGGTGATTGATCGAGATGACTTAGCAAGGGCTAGCCGAAACATAAGTACGTAACAAATATTTGAAATGTAATAAGTTGTCACATTTAAAAGCTCTAAACAACTGTACATTAAATTAGTAAATCTGTGTCATTACTTTTTCATATAAATAAAAGAAAACACCAAGAGCATGCGACATAGACACAGGTCTGTATCGTATATTCCTAAACTTACATTCTTATTTTATACCAAACGGAAATAACTTTTATGACGCCCAAAATGTATACTTAAATAAACAAATCCCAAACAAACATATTTTCCATTAATATATTTATTTGTTATTCCCTAACTATGTCACTTGATTGTTCGCCCTATTAGGAATGTTCGATCATCCTCAAACATTGCGATAAAAAAATCTGTTATGTCTTCTCCCGAAGGCAATTAAGCTGAGAGAGCACTCCGCCAGCATCGCGCACCGCGATCGTCGCATGCGAGTAGGTACTACCACAAAACGGCACATTCTTATGCAAACATCAAGCATTGGCCATGATACACAAACAAACATATATCAAAAGACATAAATTCAACCTAAATCAGAAATTCCAAAAAGGCCGCCATACTTGAATTTGTTGAGGATGACGAAAGTTTGTATCGACCGCTTGGCTTACCTTATGCTGGTTCTGCAGAAGAGCTCAACTGAAACCAGGTACGGTGAAGTTCTTTGTTCTTTATTCATTTCCGCTTATCACGAGTGTCATTTGTCCTTTCCTCTGTCACCTGTATGTAGCTTAGCTTTCTATTCGCACTGTTACTCCCAAACCCGCACCATAAAAGCTAAAGTAACAACTAGGATGAAATGATTCTATAATACATTAATAGTATGAAGTATGTAGTGCTTTAGGGAAAATAATAATGTAGGCTACACTTTAGACGTAGAAGTAACACGTAGGTATGAATTAGTAAATACTTAGAATGATATCCTACTGTTATTTTTCTGATCGAGAAGAAGAAAATGTGTGACGTAAAAGTCGACGTTAGAAATTATGTGTTTAGATTCTTATGTTAGGATAACGAATATACTTAGAACAAGTAAATAGATTATCGCCTATCATTATCATTAAGTCATAGGTAGTATTAGATTTCATAGTTATCATCAATCATCATAAACTCATTAATTAACTACCTAGTAAATTAATTACGTACTATAAATTCTTATCTGTCTCATAAAAATATTGTAAAATAATAACAAAATATATATAAAAACACTGAGCTATAAATAAAAATGTTCTTGATGCATAACAATTAAGTACATTTAACAAATTATATTAGAAAGATGTATTGTAATTGAATGATAAAAATAAAAACGAATTGTGTCAAATTTGCTACAAAATCTTTTCCATCTTTACTCCAAAATTTTTATTTTGTACCTCATTATTACCAAAAGATTTATATAATTGAAAATGGTAAAATACATTTTTAACTCTGATATATTTAAATCAAATGCAGATTAATGATTTCTATAAATTATTTCAGTATTTGAGTATAAGATATGATCAGACTGCAGCGTGACAAAATTTCTGGTTTTAAAATAGTATTACAATAAATAGTGTATAATAGTACAGTACCTAATTAATTATACACCAGTAATTTTAACAGACCATTTTCCAGTTTTATGATGATATATGAAATGTAGAAAATGTCACGAGAATTCGAATAGGTAACTTTACATACCTACTCGCCAGTGAATTTTTGAAACAATTGCTGTTAAAAACACCAAGTAATAAAACTACAGAAACAATGATGAACTTGAATAGCACCGTGAACTTATGTATTTTATCGATTTGGTTTATTAAAAATGTACGTTACACAAGAGACCTTCGTATAAATTTTACGTTTTTATTGTTGTCTAGATGTCGCGCTCCGATCGCGTCCTTGGACTGTATGGATGATTTTAGTGCAAATTCACAGCAGATGCTAGATCAAGGTACGTGCCTTTGATAAATAGTTGAAATTAATTATAAATTTCTTAAACATATGAATAGTTTTGCCTTTAATCAATAATAAGAACGCCCATCTGGGGAAATACATAACGTTACAGATACCTTACAGAAAACCTCGGTAAAATAGCATTACCTTTTCGTGTTATTGTTTCTGTCGGTAAGTCAGGGTTGGGGTATAGGGGATCAAGGCAGCTAACGGAATACTAAGTGTCGCCGCACACGGTCCACACGCCACAGCCACAAACGTCGCCACGAGAAGCTAGAAGCGGCTACTAAAGTAGCTGAAGCGCGCGACAGCGACCGACAGCGACCAACAGCGGCCGACTAAGTGTCGCCGCACACGGGTCACACGCCACAGTTACAAACGCCGCCACGAGAAGCTAGAAGCGGCTACTAAAGTGGCTGAAGCGCGCGACAGCGGCCGACTAAGTGTCGCCGCACACGGTCCACACGCCACAGCCACAAACGTCGCCACGAGAAGCTAGAAGCGGCTACTAAAGTAGCTGAAGCGCGCGACAGCGACCGACAGCGACCAACAGCGGCCGACTAAGTGTCGCCGCACACGGGTCACACGCCACAGTTACAAACGCCGCCACGAGAAGCTAGAAGCGGCTACTAAAGTAGCTGAAGCGCGCGACAGCGACTGACAGCAACCGACAGCGGCCGACTAGGTGTCGCCGCACACGGTCCACACGCCACAGCCACAAACGCCGCCACGAGAAGCTAGAAGCGGCTACTAAAGTAGCTGAAGCGCGCGACAGCGACCGACAGCGGCCGACTACGTGTCGCCGCACACGGGCCACACGCCACAGTTACAAACGCCGCCACGAGAAGCTAGAAGCGGCTACTAAAGTAGCTGAAGCGCGCGACAGCGACCGACAGCGGCCGACTAAGTGACGCCGCACACGGGCCACACGCCACAGCTACAAACGCCGCCACGAGAAGCTATAAGCGGCTACTAAAGATGCTGAAGCGCGCGACAGCGGCCGACTAAGTGTCGCCGCACACGGGCCACACGCCACAGCTACAAACGCCGCCACGAGAAGCTAGAAGCGGCTACTAAAGCGGTTGGAGCGCACGACAGCGGCCTACTAAGTGTCGCCGCACACGGGCCACACACCACAGCTACAAACGCCTCCACGAGAAGCTAGAAGCGGCTACTAAAGTGGCTGAAGCGCGCGACAGCGGCCGACTAAGGTAAAGGAGAGAGGGGTGGGGAATCGCGCGAGTCACGTGTGGCGGCGTTTTGTATCGGCGCATTAAGTAGCCGGTGCGGGCCACAAGAAGCGAACGATGACGATTTGTAGCGTGTGGCGACCACCGGCGTACCGTGTGTGGCAAGTTCATATAAAATGTATGAGAACTACAAGAAATATGCCGGTGGCGGCGTTTTGTGGTTGTAGTCGGTGGCTCGTGTGCGGCGATACTAAAATAATACCAAACCGGGGTATCGCAAGAGTCTGTAGAATATGACCTAAAGAATAAAATATGCTGTTAAGTATTTTGACTAACAATATTTTTTATATTTTTATAAGGATATAATTTTCCATTAGCGGGTGAGGTGGCGGTGACGCGGCATATGTCAAGTTACTTGGGCAATCACAACACAATGCCATCGAGTGTAACTCCCGGTCTGCGTTATAAGAACCTAGGCAAGTCAGGTCTACGAGTGCCCAACATCGGCCTGGGCATGTGGACGATGGTTAACGAAGACTATGCCGAAGATATTGTAATGACTGCTCTAGAAAATGGAATAAACCTATTCGACCTGTCAGAAGCGCATTGTGGTGAGTATTTATTTAATTGAACTAACATTCTCATTCATACATTAACAAGAGCTTAACTCTAAAACAATCAGCCATTTAACAGAGATGCTGCATTTCATGTTTGAAAACTTATTAATAAAAGTTCATAGTTAGGCAAAACAGTTGAATTTATTATTTTGTCAAAAATATCAGGTATCTTTATTTAAATAGTTTACAGATCACTGCAGGCTTAGTAACAACAGCAATTAATGTACATTACGCTTACTAAGTACTTAGAATATATAATATACGCTTTCTAATTAAAACTCATAATTAAGTAGGTGCCGTACGCATGTTATAAAGTTTTAAAGAAATATTGCATGCCTTAGACATTAGATACTTTAGTAGTAGGAGTTTATGAATTAAGTACACAATATCAAATCCACATCATGCCTTCTCATTTTGTACTAACTGTATATTCACTGACTGTTTTATTCATTGCATATTCATATCGTCATAGTTTTAAACAAGCGCCAAATAAAAACAAATCTTCATGGAATAATCACAGCTAAAGGTGAAGCTGAACTGGGCAGAATCTTGAAGAAGAGAAACGTGCGCAGGACCAGTATAATTATAACGACCAAAATATATTGGAGCACCAAGTAAGTTCTTAATTGAAGTATATGACTAATATTTGATGCTTTTTGTTTTGTGATAGCACGTTTAACACAAATTTTCTTACACATAAACAGGTACGAACCTTAACAAAATTTGTTTATAACTCAAAGTTGACACTTGTACAGCGAATCAAACAATAGATGTTCTTGTCCTAAAAATATTTCCAATTTACAAAATTATAAAAGAAGTGATCATGTTTTTAATCTTAACAATTTTTACAAATATCGTTATTTACATGTAAAATCGCATTACAATATATCGTAACTAATGATATTTTTACATTTCGAATCTAGCGACCACGAGCAGTTTTATTGTAGCCATAAAAGATGAGTGTTATGTGCTGTGCTTATTGCTGCTTAGTAACTCGCTATTAACAATATTTTACTAGGCTTTCGATGTAAAGCTTTTCGCTGCTTAGTCCCTAACGTGTTCTAAATATTTACTTATTAGGTTTGCTCATGCCTATAACAGGTCGGATGAGAGAGGTTTATCTCGAAAGCACATTGTTGAGAGCGTCAAAGCATCACTTTCAAGGCTCCAAGTGGAATATATAGACGTCGTACTATTACATAAGGTCGATCCAGTGTGCCCAATGGAAGGTCGGTAATATAATTTAATCTCAAGATATCTCTAATGAGATATTCCAAATTTAAACACAGATCTTTTTACAGAATTAGTTAGGGCAATGAACTTTGTAATAAATCAAGGATGGGTCATGTATTGGGGTACAGCACGCTGGTCACCGTCAGAGGTACAATAAAATACAATTTGCGATTACACACAAATTTTAACATCTTTTTTTTGTCAAACTATTTTACCGTTTCAGATTATGGATGCATACACAAACTGCAGACAGTTCAACTGTATAACTCCAATAGTTGAACAGACTGAATACCATATGTTCTGCAGGGAGAAACCAGAGTTATATATGCCGGAATTATATCATAAAATCGGCGTTGGTGAGTCGAGAACATGCTTATTTTTAACAGTTTTGATGCAATTCGAAATTTCACATTTGTAGGTTCGATTTTTTTTCTAGGAATGATGGCGTGGTCAGCCATTACAACGGGCAAGGGTCTAGGACGCGAAGAAATCACCGGTCTCTTTGCTAAGTCGCGTTTCAACAGAAAATATAGCACGTTCAGTTGGTGTGAGGAAGATCTCGCTGTGCCTGAAGTAAATCTTTTACTTTGATCGCTTTTTTTTTCATCCGCTTTAACTGAGATCGCTTTTTGTTTCATCCGATTTAACTCAGATCGCTTTTTATTTAACTTTCATTTATTCGTTAGAGATACTGTTTTTCTAATGTTTGTATTTAATAGATGCGGATATCTGGAAGTAAGGAACAGGTGACCGGGGAAGAACCACGCACGTATGGTGATAAGCTACGAGATCTTTCGAACCTCGCTGATTCACTAAGTAAGTGGTCAATGGATTAATACTTTCAAGACTAAACGCATTAAACATTAACATTATAAATTATTAATGTCATATTTTTCTTAGATTGCTCAATGAGCCAGCTGGCTGTGGCTTGGTGCCTTAAGAACGAGTCTGTCAATTGTCTCCTCCTGGGAGCAAGCAGTGTAGAACAATTCAAAGAAAATATACATGCTCTACAGGTAATTCAAACTTCACTGTCTTTATAAATTTTAAGTTAATCTTTTTATGAAATTTTTGATGTTTTCTCCGAACAGATTGTTCCACAATTAACACCATCAGTCATGGTAGAAATTGAAAGATTACTATCAAACAAACCGCAGAGGCCACCTATGGTGTCTACGTTAGCAATGAGGAACCAGCAAAACAGCAACACAGTTCGAGTGGACATGACGTGAGTAGATCATCAAATTCAGTATGTTTACAAGTCATAATAATACATAAAAACAAGTGCAAGTCGGAGTAGCAAACATACTCTTACGGGTTCTTACCACAATGTGTTTTTTCAATCAATATAAAATGCTGGAAGTCAGTTAAAGAAATGAGACTGTTTTGAATAACTTGACTTGTACATTATTTTAAAAATGATTAAACAAAACAATAAGTAAAAAAAAACATATATAGAGATAGAGAGTAACTTTATTTTATTTTCATGATTTGTTGAGATAGCGACGGCAGTTACAGACAGACAGAGAAGGGTATTAATAGGGTTCCGGGCTAAACTGTACTTCCAGGGCCCAAGTGGTGATACTTCACACTAGTTTAGGTTAGGTTAGTGTTGTGCCCATAACGCGCGAGCTGAGTGAGCAAAGCGAGCGAGCCCGCGGTAGTATCCGACGAAGCGCCAGAAAAAATGAGACCTTTTCTACAAAATAAATTCAAGTTCTTGGGCCCTGGAAGGGGAACTTGAATTGAAGAACTTGTACAGTTTTACTGGGTTCCATTTCTCACCTTTTGCTTATGAAACCCTAACTCTCAGAGTTTTTTTGAAATAGTAAAGCAGGATAGCATTATTTATAGTTTCTAGTGATCTCATGAGGATAGCATAGAAGAGTAACGAGTATATCCGAAAATGCGGAATATAGATTTTTTTTTTCTTTTTTTTTAAAATGAAACAGAATAGACATCATTACTGTTGTATTACTAAAAAGTAAATGGAAATCCATTGTTAACGCGCTGAGCGGGCAGATATTGTCTATGAAATTCATTGTTAACGAAATGTTTTGTTTCTCATTCATTGTTTTATTTTATTTTATTTTTGTTCCGTAAAAACAAGTGATCCGTATCATTTTGCAGACATTTGGTTTTTTTTTACATTATGCTATATTTGCTTTCTGAGCATTAATTTTGAAAAAAGAATAAATCGTATTTGGGATTAAAATGAAGAACTCCACAGAGGCGCAACGACATCTGGCACTGGTTCGCCGAAGCCAGACGGTGAGAACGCAGGCGACGGCGAAGCCTCCACTCCCGGTAAGGAGTCCGGGAGGGCGTTCTGTGAGATTCAGTGACCGTGGTGGCGCGGAAGCACTGACTCTGCTTCCAAATCTAGTAAATCAAAGGTACGAACGTTGACATTTTGGAGCATGGAAATATAATATATTTCGGTCCTGACACATCTATGGGCCCACTTAGTGATATAAGTTTCAAAGGTTTGTAGCAAAAATATATGTTGGGTTGGGCAACAATATACTTTAAACACACACGAAAAAGATGGCTGATAAATTAGCTTCAAAACTGCTTAAAAACTGTTTTTTTTTTCAAAGTAACATTATTTTAGCTAGGGCCTGCCAAAACTTAAAATGCTAGGTGGGTCGATACATGTGTCCGGAAGTGTATATTTTTTGAGAGATTTCTTAATAATAACCATTCTCACATTTTCAGGAATCTCTTAAGGACTCAAAACCTAAATTCTTTTTAAACAATGCCGGAGAAGTCATCAAGCGTACAGGTTAGTTATTGTTTCCTTGCTTTATCTACATATATTTAACCATTTAGAAAAGAAAATAAAAGCCATTAAGTCATACACATTTAGGTACAGAATTGGAATGATACTGTAAAACTAACGGTCAGTTTGTAAACTCCAGTAAAAGATTGGCCTATTATATCTTTGTAGCTTAGCAGAACTTAGCAATAGTCGATATTTTTATTATTTAGAGATAACATTAATGTTTCTTAGAGACGGAACTAGATTACTTTTCTATTACCATATTCTGGTTGATGTACGGATTATTAGGTTGTTTAATAAAACTGGCAATATAATATATTTATATTTGTTAATTTTAGAGAAAGACGGTGTTTCAACTGACGTGGTAGTATCAGTGTCTTCGTTGAAAGGTAAGCAGCCAGCAAGTGGCGGTAGTAAAGTGAAGAAGTCAAAGTCTGACCCAGCCCGTCCGCGCTCCTCTTCGCTACAACGATCGTCGTCCGGCCAACTAGCGGGGGCGCGGGATAGACGCAGATCTAGACTCGAACTCTCCTCACCTGCTGACTTGTAGGATGAATTTGGAAAATCCGCAGATTGTGGTCAACACTTTCCAGTTCGGTAACATCGATAGCTCCACGAAAAACTCTCGCAATGACTGTCGAAGCAGCCAGTAATAGAAAGTTGTCAAAAATCCGAATGTTACAGAATCAACTTGCTGTAGGTTTTGTAAAATATAATCTCACTGTCTACTTCGATAGATCCAAAGCAGTGGCAAAGCAAAATCCAATTGTAATGGTAGCAAAGTGATGAAGTCAAAGTCTGACCCGGCTCGTCCGCGCTCCTCTTCGCTACAACGATCGTCCTCCAACCAATAGGATTCTGGAAAATAAAATCTCACTCAATCCCGATGATATCGATATTCGTAGCTCCAGGACAAGGGCCGACTAAAGAAAATAAAATGTCAATGTCGAATTTGATCCGGAATTATAGCAAAGTCTCGCAATGATCTCGAAATTCAATATGGAGATTGCATGTTGCAGAATCGACGTGCCTGTAGATGATTCTGTTAAACCTATTGTTAAAATTGGAACTTCAAGTCTAGGCATATTTTAAATATGCATTAGTTGAAGCAGCTTGTAAAAGACAGACATTTGACAAAGTTTTGAATCACCTATCGAAATTCAAAAGTGAGATTAAATGTTACAGAATCGTCGTGTTGTAAAGTAATGCAAAACCTTTGATTCTATGAAATAGAAAACTTAAATAAGAGAAGAATAGATGACGATAACGATCACGTTACGATATAGGTATGGAAAGACAATATCGATAATGTTGGTATAAGCGCTAAAACCCAGCCAGATCGCGCAACCTACATCAAAAGTGTCCTTAAGGATCGAGTAAAATTTATCAATCAATAATTTAAGCAAATCTCTAAGGTCTATGGTTTTAATTTTTAGTTATTCATTTCATTTCCATAATTTTGTTTTTATTGATAAGTAATTTTCTTTTGGTTTTCCTACCTACGAACAAAACAGTATTAAACTAATTGTTAGTTTAAATAAATAGATATTTATTATGAAAAAATCCGTTAAGAAAAATTTAATTGCTTTGTGAAGGCCGAAATGGCTGGGACTCTAAAACAACAGCACTAGAGAATCTTAATTCTGTGAATTTCTTGTATAAAAAATAGTACCTAGTACTTTTAATAGTTTAGATCATAATAAATGATAAAACTGTGAAATTATTCTATGATTAAGTAAATAAGAACTGCAGAGAACACTTGAGAAGTTTGTATCGATAAATTTGTTCAAACATTAGTTAGCTAGCTTAAATAAACCCAATTTAATTAATCTATGGCAAAGAACGATTGTCGATAACCAAATATAGGATTAACCATACTTGTTAGATTTATGAAAAATTTAGATAAAAATTGTTAACATTATTGAAATCCTGTGATGGAGAAGATTGGTCAAGTTTCTTAGGTCAAAAACCATTTGTAAAGTATTAACTCCTGTATGTAGATTTTAAATCAATTCCTTGATTTATAAAATTAGCCTAAGAAACTAGTGTGTAAAGAACGTAAAAATAGAATGTCCTAACAACTGTCTAAGTAGTTCTGTTAAGTTTAAACCTTACCCTACTTTTCTTATTATTATCATATCGTACTAACAGTAGTGTGCTGGTGTAAATGAGAATAAACATTGGGATTCTGTCTTGTGCTCTGTTGGGTCTATTAACAACTAAAAATTAAAGTTGCATTGTTTGAAATTCAAAGTTAATCGAGTTTTTCAATGATTCCTTTGGAGAAACTAATAAAAGAAGCTGAGTCTTTTATATATTAAAAAAATATACTTCCACTCGTCAAGCTTTAATCATGAAGTCATTTTTAACGTCTGGCTTAAACAATTACGCTGAATTGGTTTCGAAGTACAAATGCCAATTCATACTAAAATATTTGATAATGTAATTTTACCTAGTGCCGCTTTCTGCTATGCACGGTTACCAAAATTGGAGCACCTACATCAACCTTTATTATATAGATTGGGGGCAGCTATCCTGGTCCAATTTCAACATAACCATCGGTACCTATTGTAATCTATTTATTGCCAGAAGGCATCCTTTCCTTTCCTAGGATAGCAGTATTTCCTATGTGTTGATATGTTTTAGCCAACGACCAAGTTACCATTCATTTATAATATTTTATTTTAGATTACAGACACGATAAAATATATAGGTGTAAAACAAATTTTAATTAAAAATAATATTTTTTTTACATGTAGATATTATTAATATAAATTGGGAAATAGGTTTTTATTCCCTGATTAGTCTTGATTATATCGCTTCTTATTGCACTATTACTATGGTGGAATCAAAACAGTCCCCTTCGTAATTCATTAGGCTGCCAAGTCTTTGCATTTAAATCCTAAAAGAAAAACATAAGTAGTAAAACTACTCTTGTCAACTTTTATTACGTGTTGAGGGTATTGAATATAAAACGAGGTATAGTTTTTAAATATCTGTATCAAGACTAAGCAGGGATGTTGTAACTGACCCCTGATAGCATGATATTAATGTTCTATTCGTTAAGTTAGGCTTAAAATAGTGAATTACTATCATTCGGAGTCCAGTACCTGTTTCAAAGTAACTGTTGTAAATTATTGTAATTATTTCTCAATACAATATTATCTTCTTTAATGTAGCTATTTTAGATAATAAGTAAATAAATATGTTATTTTTAATAATATCATGAAAACAACTTAACTATGTGTCCCTTCAAGTCGTCCAGTCAAGTCCCTTCAGAAGGAGTATGGTTTCAGTGTCACTAGTATTTTATTCACTATTGATGTATTTAAATTATTATCAAATATTTGTCTGATCAAAAAAGTGTTTATCATAATTATCATGAATAGTTCTGATATTAATGATGTTACGTTTCATTTTTAATGTTGGCAAATTTATTTTTGTAATAAAATATTTATATAGAAAGGAAAAGTTAAGAATAGGTACCTAATTAATACATAATCAATGCACAACGGTTGTAAGTCAATATTTAGAGCAAGGTATACATAACACACTCAATGAATTCGCCAAGCATGCACTGCGTGGATAAAATTAAATCGTTAAAGGTAAATGTTGATGAAAAATTATCATGTTTAAGCCAGAAGCTGTAAAAACATCAAATGGGAAAATTAATAAATCATGCATACATAAACGAACTTGTTTCATTACCACCTGTGTAGTATAGAGTTGTGGCTCCTTGAATCACCGCAGATATGACGTCGGATATCATTAAGGACATTTAGATACCGGCGGCGCCGAGATGAACGACTCGCGACGATACCGGTAACTGGTCAATTAGCCGATCTCATCCCTCCAATGGGCCAGTCTGAGATCTTTCCAAGGATAAATATAGCGACGTTCCAGCTGCAAGTTCCGCTCAGTAATCGGCTATTGTAAAGTGAGATGAAGTTTGAGTGGCACGCAGTGCGGACGCGCGGGCCTACTGCTTGCAGACCAGTCCAATATGGCGGTGGTGTACTTCGATTGGTTGGACTACCTCGTTTTCGGGGCGATGCTGCTTGTTTCCTCTCTGATCGGGGTCTACTTCGCTTTTTTTGCCAGTAAGAAGCAAAATACCACCGCTGAGTATCTAATGGGAGGAAAAACTATGGGTATTTTCCCCATATCGATGTCACTTATCGCCAGGTATAATAAGGCCACTATTTCAAAATCTTAATTCATTTATATTTACATACCATAATTTCAGTGCCTTTTTTTTATATTAGCACAGCTCTGAAATATCTAGACTCTCATATAAGTTTGGCAAATAGCATATTAACATTAATAATAAAAGCTACTTTTTAAATTATTTCCAGTTATATTTCTGGTATTTCATTACTGGGATTACCGGCAGAAATGTACACTTATGGGACTCAACTCTGGGCAATAGTGCTCTCAGAATGGACAGTGTCATTGACGATAGCTGTGGTCTATCTGCCAGTTTTTTATAATTTACAAATCACTTCCACCTATGAGGTAATTAACAATTAAAAAAATGTTCTGTTTATTAATGATTCTTAATGCAATAAATATATTATTGTTACTGACAAATACGGCGATTTATTCATTATAAATTTACGACTGTATGCTTTTATTTATGTTTACAGTATTTGCGGCTTAGGTTTAACAAAAAAGTCCGACTTCTAGGCTCTATTATATTTATTATCAAAATGCTGCTTTACATACCTATTGTGATTTACGTTCCCGCCTTAGCTTTCAGTCAAGGTAATTACCTAGTTCTTACAATTAATAACCTGCTTTTTATTTCATAAATTATACCAATTACTGATATTTTTTTCAGTGACCGGCATCAACATTCATATGATCACACCTATAGTTTGCATAGTGTGTATTTTTTATACAACACTCGTGAGTAACTTCTACATAATGTATCTCTTCAAGTCTCTCCTATAGACCTAATTCTATCCCCCACTTCTACAAACAAATTGGTAGTCTTGTCTTTGAGCTATCTCGATTGGAGGTCAAGTAAATCAGAGTGTACCTTTGTCTATGTTTTGAAACATTTTTGTTTAGTATTGTAACAGTTCATAATATCTTTTCTAAGGGAGGACTAAAAGCTGTAGTTTGGACGGATACGCTGCAGACTATGATCATGTATCTCGGAGTGATATTTGTTTTGGCTTACGGTACTTGGAGATTAGGAGGTGTGGGCAATGTCTTTGAACTAAACAAGAAAGGTGATCGTCTCGAATTTTTTAAGTGAGTAAGATAAATTAACCTTCTTATTAATCTTCTAGTGTTTTGCTTGATCATATCATACTTAACTAATGGTTGACTGACGAAATGTCTCCTTGAAAGTTCTGTGAAAAGTTCTTTGACTAATGATCCAAACAGACCCAGTTTAAACTTCGCTAATAGGTAGGCAACGATAGTATTTAATATCGTTGTAGGGTATCAAATCCAAATTCTCCGTACGAACGTGGACATTTGTAAGAAATTGCTAGAGTATAAGAATAAAATAGTATTGCTTTAAAATCACTGTATTATTCTATGATTTAGTTTTAATACTAGCTGTGCCCCGCGGTGTTACCCGCGGTTTATTAGGGAAAATAAATTGTGTATTAACAGTAAAAACAATGACTATTCACATTTTTAGAAGCAAAATAATCTAAACTTAAACATCGGAAAGATCAATTTACAAAGGAGATTGCTCAGCTTCCATACATGTTTGGCCTAAAAACCAATAACCATGAAAAATTGTTTCCTACATTCGAAATTATATATAAATTACCGTAGAAACGAATATTATCGACGGCCACTCCTGAGAACTTCTATAAACCATATACACTGAATGATTTTGAGGTTATGTTTGCAAATAGGTGTGATACTTGATAGCGGGCCGGGAAGTCTTCATGTAAGTAAAAGGCAGGTTCGGATGACGAATTGTTTAATGTCTGATCTCATGGACGTGTGTAAACGGAAGTGTCAAACCAAAGACAACATTTCTAATTAACAATCGGCAATAAACAATAATAGCATTGGATAGATACATAACATCTTCCCTTTTTTTTTTAAGCTGTTGTTTTACAATAAATTAATTAAAACTATATAACAAAAATAGTAATTAATTTTAACAATGAAAACCAAATGGTAAAATGTGTATTGACGGAACGCAACAGTGCTCTGTGGAACCAGTGACATTATATGCCATTGACATTAGCAGCTTTATTTCAATCAACAAAAATGCCAATCATGACATGAGTACAAACAAACAAAATAAATACGTGATTTTACATAGTTCTACAAACAAACAAAATACGTGATTTTACATAGTTCTTACAAGTTGCATTCAAGATTTTTACATATTATTTACATGAATAAAGGAAATGCCCATTTTAACTGAATGCGGGAATAAAATAATGATAACATTACATTTCTATATATGTAAAAATCAATCTTCACTGTACCTACGAGGTTTCCTAATTTGTCGACCCCAAGATGAGTATTTGACACTATCATGTGAATTATTCTGATTGTTTTGTGTTTGTGTAACAGGTATGTCTATATTTGTGTTTTTATTTTCCAGGTGCAGGGGAGAAGCAGGAGGACTTGGCGAGGCAGTGGGAGTTGTGGACGGCGCCGAAGAGGGACGAATTGGGGTTTGAGGTTTCATGATGTGAACCCTATTCCGACGGAATGAACCTTCGTTAGAATCAACAGTGTATGATCTTGGTTTTTGATCTGTCTCAGTGATAATGCCTGGTGTCCAAACACTCTGTGGATGTTTTTTAAAGTATACCCTATCCCCTTTTTGTAATGTAGGTAAGTATCTAGAATGTTTATTGTAATAAAGTTCTGAATAATCTTTTTGTTCTTTCATTTTTTCTTCAACTTTATTGTAATCTGGGACTTCTGGCTGTAGAGACTGATTAGTTATGGGTAATCTAGCTCTTAACGTTCTCGACATAAGTAATTGAGCAGGAGAGCACAGACCATGTTTGGGAGTATTTCGATATTGTAGAATAGCTAAATGAAGGTCAGTTTTGTCCATATAGCATTTCTTTATTATGTTTTTTATTGTACCAATTGCTCTTTCAACCATACCATTGGAGCGGCTATGGTAAGGACTAGAAGTGATGTGCTCGATTTGCCATTGAGAAGTGAAAATATCAAATTCATTAGAGTTAAAAGGAGGGCCATTATCAGAATGCAAAAATCTAGGAATGCCATGTCGAGCAAATATAGATTTCAAATGAGAAATAACATTACTGGCAGTGGAGTTATTATTGAGAAGGGCAAGTTCTACATACTTAGAGAAGTAGTCTACAACTAGTAAGTACTTCTGTGAATTAAAATCAAATAAATCTACACCAACTTTGTACCAAGGAATAAGAGGAATTTCCTGGTGACATAATGGCTCTTTAGTATTATTGCGCCTGAAAGTTAGACAAACATGGCATGAATTAATATAAATTTCAATATCCGAATAGATATTAGGCCAATAGACTGAATTTCTGGCTAGACTTTGGCAGCTCTTGATACCTTGGTGACCTTCATGCAAGAGTTTCAATATATCATTTCTAAGAGAGATTGGAACAACAATATTATTATTTTTTAGGATTATTCCATTTAAGACTTGTAATTCATTTTTTATTGAGAAATAGGGTCTTATGCTTTCAGGGAGATTTTTTTTATGTTCTGGCCATCCATTAATACAGTAGGACTTAATAGTGATTAAATCCTTGTCTTTGGCAGTATGATCTTGAAATTCTTTTAATTTATAAGGGCTAATGGACAATGACTGAAGTACCAGATTGACATGAAGATCTATATCAGTCTCTAGGTCAGTTAAAGCTGGGTCTGGTAAAGCTGATCTTGACAGTGTGTCTGCTACATACAAATATTTCCCTGGCTTATACTGTACTGATATATTATATGGTTGGAGTCTAAGCATGATTCTTTGTAAACGGGCTGGAATACTGTAAAGTGGCTTTTTGAAAAGTGAGACAATGGGTTTGTGGTCTGTTTCCACAGTGGCATGTCGACCATAGATGTACTGGTGAAATTTAGTACATCCGAAAAGAATGGCTAACAGTTCCTTTTCTATTTGGGAGTAAGCTTGTTGTGCTTGACTAAGAGAGGCAGAAGCATATGCTATTGGCTGTTTTTCGTGACTTATGACTGCCCCCATAGCATCTTTGGATGAGTCAACTGACAGAACAATGTCTTTGCTTTGATCATAAAATGCCAACACTGGTGCTTCTGAAATTTGAATTTTTAGGTTCTCGAACTCCTTATTTTGCGAATCTGACCAGTCAAATTTTACATTCTTGGATAAAAGGGATCTTAAATTAGTGGTTTTTTGTGACAAATTTGGAATATATGACCCTAAATAAGTTACCATGCCCATAAAGCGTTGTAGTTCAGATAGATTAGTGGGTGGTAACATTTGGCATATTGCTTGGACTTTAGCCGGATCTACACTTACACCATTCTCACTAAAAACATGTCCCAAGTATTTGACCTGAGATTGACAGATATTGGACTTGTCTTTATTAAATTTAATGCCTATTTGTTCAGCTCTTTGTAGAACACATTTTAACCTTTCATCATGTTCCTCCTTAGTTTTGCCATGCACGAGCAAATCGTCCATCATGACCTTGACCCCATCAAGGTCACTGAACCTTCTGGTCATCTCTGCGTGAAAAATTTCAGGAGCCGCATTGATTCCAAAGGGGAGCCTAAGAAAACGATAACGACCAAATGGTGTTATGAAGGTACATAGCTTTGAGGAAGCTTCATCTAGTTTTAGCATATAAAATCCCTTATTGGCATCTAAAGTAGAAAAAAATTTTGCACCTGTTAAACTAGTTTTTATTTCATCTATAGTAGGGAATTGGTAGTGAGCTCTCATGATTCCTTCATTTAGCTTCCTGGGATCTATGCAAAGTCTAAGTTTTCCATTTTTTTTAGAAGTAAGTACTATTGAATTGACCCAGTCAGTGGGTTCATTGACTTTAGTTATTACTTTGTCTTTTTCTAATACTTCTAGTTCCTGTTTTAGGTCATCAAGTAAAGAAAAGGGAACTCTGCGACATGCAACTACAGAGGGGACAGCATCTGGTTTTAAAGTAAGGTGACATTTGAAATCTGTCAAAGTACCTATTCCTTCGAACAAATGAGAATATTCTGATAGTAAGGAAGTGTTATCAAATGTGACATTGTGTATTCTTTTGACAAGTTCTAAGTATTCACAACTTTTTCGGCCTATGACATTTTGACAGTTAAGATCTATTATGTGAAAGTTAAGCAAAAACTTTTTGTTATTATGTAGGACATTGACTTCACATTGACCCACAGTGGGGAGTATTTCACCACTGAATGTAGATAGTTTGTGACTGCTCTTTTTTATGCAAGACAATGGTAATTTATGTTTCTTAAAAGTGAAAAATGACAAGATATTGGTGTCTGCACCAGTATCTAATAAAAATTTTGTATAGTGGCCATTTATGTTTAGATATGTAGTAAAATTATTGCTATTATTTTGTATGGCTGACAAAAATAATGTACCCAAAAAATATTGTTCATTGCTATTAATTATTATATTGTTATCATACGTTTCATTGTTGACTTCTTCCACACGATTGATCTTTCTTGAACGGCAGACAGAAGCAAAATGGTTTCTTCGTCCACAGTTGCGGCAGACAGCTCCCAATGCTGGACATCTGATTTTGTGCACCTGACCACAGTTGCTGCATACTTGGTTGCTGTTTTGTCGACTATCTTGACTGGTGTATCTCCGCTGACTGGAAGAACTCCTAGGCTGGCTCAGTGGTCTAAAATTGTATGTATTTGGTCTTGACGTGTTGACCACACTAATATCTTGAGTCTGAGATAATGATTGGGTGTCGAGTTTCGTGTTTCTGATCATTTTTGCTAATGTGACGGCTGCATCAAAAGTTCTGGGTTTTTCTATTATTATTCTTTCCTTGGTATATGTACAGTTCAAATTCCAAGAAAATATGTCCTTTAATATATCATCACTAATAGTGCCAAACTCGCACTGTAGACTTATGTTTTTCAGATCTGTAGCATAAGACTCAATCTCTTCATGTTGGCCTTGTTTTCTGTTAAATAACTTGTGTCTTTCGATTGAGATGTTTACTTTTGGCAAAAAATACGATTCAAACTTAGCAAGGAGGACATCGTATGGAATAGACTCCATATCTACTTCAAATGAGTTGAAAATATGTAGGGCGTCAGTGCCTATGGCGTTGAGTAAAATGGCCACCTTTCTAGCATCTGCCTCTTCATCTAAATTATTGGCTTTCAAATAGATTTTCAGAGATAGTTTGAAATTTTTCCAAGCTAGTGGCATATTGGAGGCTCTCATGTCTAGCTGAAATGCTGCCGGAGGGAGAAAATTTGGAGAAAGTTTCGATGATGGTGGCTCGTTCGCCATTTTTCCTTCAGTATGTTCAGTGTGTTGTATGGAGTATGTATGCTTGCCTGAGAACTCTGTTGCGGCGACGATGACGACGAACGAGACTGCAACCACCGCTGTCACCATGTGATACTTGATAGCGGGCCGGGAAGTCTTCATGTAAGTAAAAGGCAGGTTCGGATGACGAATTGTTTAATGTCTGATCTCATGGACGTGTGTAAACGGAAGTGTCAAACCAAAGACAACATTTCTAATTAACAATCGGCAATAAACAATAATAGCATTGGATAGATACATAACAATAGGCACATAGGTATTAGAATAATAAAAACCAAATAACTTATATAGGAAAATAGGGCAATCAAGCCAAGTACCTACCGATATTATGAATTAGATTCAGGTATATAGAGCATGTAAAATAACAGATATGTGCATGTTTTTAAAAACACGAACAGAAACTGTGTGATGATTGTGAATGAGCCACAGATTAGAGAGAATTTTTAAACTCTCGTTAATCAAAGAAAGCTAAGAGCTGTAGGTTATACAGCCATATCTTCAGCAGCTTCATTATTTTTGTTATGTTTTTATTATAACCATATTTTAGATTTTTAGTGTATCACACCTTATAATGTGTTTATTTAGGTGTTTGGCAAAAAATGTACGGCAATACACTTTATGATGTCGCCTACCATCTATATTAATTGTCTTAGCACATTTGCATGTAGTAAAAATGATAATAAAGTTGTGGATATTAATACCACCCGTGTAATAAAAAAAAATATATTTTATCAATCTTTACAAAATAGATTTGTTTTGATGTTATATATACAACCTCGATCAGTCTTTGTGAATGTTACTACACCCATAGCCAATAAAAATGATTCGTATGTTTTCCAAACCGGTAAAAATAGAAGTCCTTTTTTTAAATTAATATATTATTTAAAGGTGGCCGTTAAAATCTAATGACTGTAAAATAAAGTATAAATTACGCCAAGAATTACTGTATATGTCAATATTTTATTTGCATTTACGCCAATTTGACCAAACTCCTTTGATGACTGACAGAACGGGAGAGTTGATTATGCTGTCTTATGTAATTGTTTTTTGTCTCGGGTCGTAGAGCGAGACCTAGAAATCATTTTACTGCAGCACATCCCGGTAAGCAACATTGCGGGACTTATTGTTTTCTGCGTAAATAAAAAGATTTCTTGCTCTCGACACACGGGAGCAACCCACGTTCAGTTGTCCGTGGGAGAAGCAGGGGGTGCCCAGGTGAATGCCGGCTTCTTTTAGAGTTTGTCCTTGACTTTTATTTATTGCAATAGAGAAAGCCACGTTTATAGGAAATTGTAGGCGTTTGAACTGGAAGGGTAAGTTTTTGGGTATTATAGGGATTCTAAGTATCAATACCGTCTCTCCTTTGTAAGTAAGAATGGTGGCCTGGACGATGTGCCGTCTCAGCTCCGTGATGCGTAACCTAGTGCCGTTGCACAGTCTGGGCGCGTCCAGGTTACGCATCAGTATGACAGGCAGACAGACAGCCCGGACAGGTCGAGGGAATTTAAGAACTCTTCATGGTATAAGTATTAGCCCACAACGGCAAAGCCTTGAGGCATGCGTTTATCTCATCTGCCGCGGTACCTCGCTCGATAACCAGTAACGTCTGCCGGAAATCACCTGCCAGCAAGACGACCACTCCACCAATCAGGATTTGATTCGGTCCCATACTATCAATTTGTACCATTGCAATAGAGCACCGCGAATACTACTGCAAATGGGCGTTTCTTCACTTGCAAGGTTCAGCGGGAGCTTGAATACTGAGTGTCCAGTTCTGCCACCACTCAGCCAGGTTGCGGCTATTCCGGAGGACGCAACAGCCAGCGCAACCAACCACTTTGCCTTTGCACAACTGTGCCAGCAGCAAGTTCATTAAAAAAGTTTTGCCGGTGCCCCCTGGTGCGTCCAAGAAAAAAAGACTTTCAGCGCTTCGTTAAAAATTATGTCATCGTTGGCTAGTGTTATCCCTTGGTATCGGCGAGCAATGTCTTCTGACAAAGCGCTTTTTATACTTGTCCCACGATTGCCGGGGGTTGGAGAGTCTGCAGGTACTTATCATAATTGCAAAGAGCTCTTTCAACGTAGTCGCTGACCGGCGCAACATTGCGTACTCCATCGTTGCGTCCCAGTGGCCGTCGTCTTCAAGCAGCTCCATCGCCTCACATGCTTCTTGGAAAGTGGCCTTTTCCTGCTCATCGACGATTTTGAGCGCTTGAAAACTGGTAGGACCCCGGATTCTAGTCAACAGCAACAGTACACAATAGCACTCAAAGTGTGTTATGTGTACGGTATAAATTCTACCGAGGGCATCTAAGGCTTTCACACCAGGCCAACCGTCGACGGGTGCGCCCTGCACGTGACGTTCCATTCTTTTCATGACGCATTCCACGTGTAATACGTTGGCTCTTCTACATAGAGCAACGTGCGAGCAACCTCGTCTCCCTAGCACAGTTGCTCGCTCCATACCTTGAATGATTTGACACCGTTTGTTAGTTTCCACGTCGTCGTCTCCCATTAAATACGCCTGTAAAAATTGTGGCTGTTCATTAGGTGTTGCCAACAGTGATCCCATTTTGTGATGTAGTTGGCCTTGCACTGTGAACGTTGGGAAAATCCAGGCATTGCAAGAATTTGTCCGCCCCGAATGACGTCATGTGAAAGCATGGGTTGTATTTTTTTACGCGGTTATAGAACCGTCGAGATTCATCAATTTCCCCTTTAAATAATGTATTTAAGGGTTCCACAGGCTCTTCTAAAATAGGAATGGCTACTTTGCCCCCAGAGCAACACATTCCCGCTCTTTCCTCATTCCATTTTAATGCCCCACAATGGTGACACACATTTTCCATACGGCAAATTTTTATGAGCCACAATATCGTTGTCCTATAAATATGTATGAAATATTAATCTATCAAAATAGCTTTGACATGAATGTCAAAAAATATGTACCTACTTGAACAAAATTCATTTACATCAATTTTTGGAAATAAGATATTTTCCCGCAGTAAAATGTAGCCTATGTGTTAATCCAGGGTATCAGCTAACTCCACACCAAGTTTTATTAAAATCGTTCCACCCGTTTAGCCGTGAAGAAGTAACAAACATACACACTCACATACTCACAAACTTTCGCCTTTATAATATTAGTGTGATTAGGAGAAAATCACGAGAAAAAATTATAGCCGTAATCATTAGATCAAGTGACATTTGGGATGATTTAAGGGTTCCATCGATACTACAATCTTCAAAATCGAGAAGCCGTTTTAGCCAGAGAGCGTGCCAAATAAATACTAATACTTATGTAGGGGAGAGGGAGGCACATTAGCACATTTTTCGTATTGGACACATAAAAAATCAACTCTAAAGAGAAATTGAAAAAACATAGTTTTCTTAGCTTACTCCTTTGTTAATATAAAAATGATGAAATATTTGAATTTGCTGAAAACGTTAAAGAGAAATAATGTGTTTTTTTTAAACAGGAATTTGTTCAAATCTGCCTCCCCAGGGGGGCACACATCGACATGGGGCAGGTTTGAACAATGGGTTAAAAACCAGAACAAAGAGAGGATAGAGTAATAATTTATCTTTATTATAATGATATTTATTGTAATAAAATATAAAATAAACTTATACGAAACTTCTAAAGTTACATCATGTATTACAGTAACAAAAATAAAAATAGTATTTTCATTGTGTTGGACTTCCTTCTTGTTAACAAAAGTAATCAAATTGCACAAGAGTTTTAGTTTATTGTTATTGTTATTATTATTATATAATACTACCTCTCACGCAAAATTAAACATAAAATAAACTTAATTAAAAACTTGTAAGAAAACACATTTTATGAAGTTTGTATTTGAATGTCCCGTTCAAATCTGCCTCGTTTGCTTTGTTCAAATCTGCCCCACGGTTACTTGAAAAATAAAATATTACAAAAAAAATGTGAAATATCTGGCAAGCAAAAACAACAAGGTGGGTTAAAAACTAATAAGTACTGCACAATTTTGTGAACGAATTAGTTGGAAACTTTTACTCACATGATAGTAAATCCCTTACAACATTTATTTTTTACTTCATTGGTACAAATACGACGACAGCTTATAAATATTTTTGAAACCGAAACGCGCGCTTTGTTACCTGACGTTTGTCACAGCCAGTGCTGCCAATATTATCGGCGTTCAGAAATCAACATGTTCAAATCTGCTCCTGTGCTAAGGTGCCTCCTTCTCCCCTACCCTACAAACGTATCCCTAAAAATCCGTAGAGTAGCAAACGATTTAATTACACTTTTTACTGTGCACTACACGTGGCTCGTTCCAACCAATGTGTCTTAAAACATCTTATTATATCCAACTCTAAAATTAATTTCAGCATGGACCCTGATCCTACGATAAGACACACATTTTGGACCACAGTGTTCGGAAACTACTTCAGTTGGTTGGCATCGTGTAGCGTCAATCAAGCAATGGTACAGCGCTGCCTCGCTTTGTCGTCGCTTAAAAGAGCTCGCGTGTGAGTATACGTTTTCACTGCTGCTGAAATCAATTCTTCAAAAAATTGGGTGATGTTATAAATGTTATCACCGACCTTGACTCTGGTAGATTGAAGTAAACCCTGTGACCGTGTAAAAACTTCTTCACTCATGATTTGAAGGAACTCATGCTCTATTCCTTTGGGAAAACCTCTAGGTACATGAAGGTCATTTCATCAATTATTTCACGGGGAGAAAAACCCACCGACAACGCGTAGTACGCTACCAACTTTGTTCTAAAGTGTGTCGATGAAATGAACTGCCTGTCAACGGCAAACTATGTGATTATAAAGGTGGCCGTTTGACAGTGAAATAATACTATCATTGGTTGAGTTGTGCTTCTGTTGGTGTAGACTGAACTTTATAGGAAATTAGGTTCAGGCGAGCGAAGTGACGATGGCTGAAAGTGCCACACTTTTCTGCTGCTTCAGTTACCTTCATCATTAGATTTCCACTAACACTTAACATCGGGTGGCATGGGCGAATGCGATTTGTATGTTTAAAAATATAACCAGAACGAATGACTCTAACCACTGCACCATCAGCTCCTCGTTAATCAAAAACTTCAACTTATTAAAACTTCTACAGAACGATATTCATAATGGCTGCGGGTATCTACATAATCGTATCGCTAAGCTGCTACACCGGCCTGGTGATATACGCCACATTCGCTGAGTGTGACCCTCTAACAACTGGAGCGATTAGGAAGAGCGATCAACTATTGCCTTACTTTGTGATGACTATCACAGGATCAATACCAGCGCTACCAGGCATTTTTATGAGCGGAGTTTTTAGTGCAGCGTTAAGGTATGTTTAAAGAAACACACGTTGCAAAAACCATATTGCAATTGACGCAGATAGGCATTGTATGTGCCTTAGCTTTATGATTAGAATAAAGATTAGATTTATTTGCTAAATATATGCATCCTTATTAGGACCTGGTGACAAATAACGAAACACAATTCTAAGGGCTTAAATACGATGTTTTTTTTAAATAAGAGTGATAACCGCCGATTTTTTTTGTTTCCTCCCAGGTGGGGAAGCTGCTGTGAAAGCCTCCCCTAGAGCCGGCTGCAAGGTTATGTCAGTCTCTTACTGACTAAAAGCTTCATCTTAAGTGATGAAGCGATCCCCTGAGAAGGGGGTGAGGCGGTATAACCGCCGAAATTTTCAAGTGCTAATACTTTTTAGAAAAACGTAACGTTAGCGCGACTTGTTGCCGTTGTTTGATGCTTATGATTTAGTTTTTTGATGTGTAACATCTTTCGTCTCGCTTTCCTGCAATTTGTGGGAGTGATTTCGTGAAATGGGACGGAAGTGTGTAAGTTCGAAAATCAAATCAAATAGCGCGCGCTTTCTCGACTTCCAAGTCGCATACAACACAATGTTCAAGTGGCTCCTTTGTAGTAGGTTTTATTTCTTTTTCTACTAATATAAGATGAGGTTTCTATAGTTGGACATCATACGCGACTACTGTAAGACTTGCTCGTTTTTTATTTTTTTAGGGTAGCTCCCCTACATGCAACCTAGGGATGATATGATGTTACGTTTTTATAAAAAGTATATGAGCACTTGAAAAGACCGGCAGTTATACCGCATCATAGATGTATATTAATTGGTTTGCTCAAATTTATTGTGGTAACTACAGGCATCTATGAGACCCTATACTGCGCGTGGCACGACACGCACTTGACCGGTTTTTAAATCTATAATATTTGAAAACATACACAACCTCATGAATAAATGATAAAACACTTTAAAAGTACTTATTATTAATAAAAATCTGTTTCAGCTCTATGTCGACAGGTCTCAATTCTATGTGCGGTGTAATCTTTGAGGATCTCATAAGACCAGCTTATAATAAGCCTATATCTGAAAAGACCGCTAGTTTTATCATGAAAATGATAGTCGTCGTTATTGGTGAGTTATACAATATAATAATATAATTTTCATGATGGCACTTTCATTGTAGATGTTTTTTTTGTGTACAGTATTTGCGTTCTATTTTCCTTTTAGATTTTCGTACTTACCTTACCTGCAACATTCACTTTTCCAGTATAATTCGTATCGTTTTAGAGATATTTTAAAGGTGATGCCAATAATATTGTTATGTGTCGGGATGGGGTTCGAAATTATATGCCAGTTCACGCTTGACAGTTCTTTATTCATCGCACAGTTCACACAATTAACACACAATGTTAATTACAAAACACTCACTAAACACTGTATTTCACTATACAAGTCTCTAAACAATCTGACTTGAACACTTTGGTTGCACTTTGATCGCCTTTGGATTCGTTCCGAAATCGCTGTTGAAACTCAACAGTTTCTGCGCGGCGCCAATCGCGCTTATATACGCCGATCGACGCATTCTAGAAAGTACCTGTTAAATTGAGAATTACCTAGCACCCGCGAGTCCGAAGTACCTACTTATACCTACGCAGGTAACGCGCATAACTTGTAAACAAGTGCAGATGTCGTTGCACTTTCTCCCTTACGCCGCACTGCATAATGCTCATTTTAGAATGAGCCGCATTACTCGACCTCTATCGCGACCCGCGGTGATCTGGCAAATTCGATCTCTAGCACTTTCGCGGTTACGTTTCGAGAGCGTTTGTGACACTGCCCCCCTCTGAGACATGCTCGTCCCGAGCATCATTGCTACCGTGGTAAGGTGCCAGGCGATCGATGTGGATTATCTTGGGCTTCTTCCTATCTCCCTGTCCTATCCGATAGGTCACGTCGTTGATTTTCATAATCACTTTATAGGGTCCTTCCCAGCGGGGCTGAAGCTTTGGGGACTTTCCAATCCTTTTCTGTGGGTTGTGCAACCAAACGAGCTCTCCCTCCACGAAGCCTCGAGCGTCGCCATTCCGATCATACCTGCTTTTCATTTTCTCGCTAGATTTCAGGTTATTTTCACGCACGAGGACGTGCGTTTCATCCAACCTTCTCTGCAGCTCTGCGACGTACTCTACTACTGATTTTCGAGGCAGCAGGAGGTCTCTCTTCCGAAGTTGATTTTTGATGGAGTGAATCCAGTGGTGTCATGCGCTGCGGACCGGTACGCCATCAGAAAGAGCGGAATGTAACGATCCCAGTCCCGTTGATGTTCTTCTACGACCTTCGCCAAATGATTTTCCAAAGTCTGGTTGAATCTCTCTACCATGCCGTCGGATTGTGGGTGTGCCGGAGTCGTACGCGTCTTATTTATTCCGAGTAAATTGCACATCTCCTGGAATAAGTTTGACTCAAAATTCCTTCCATTCCAGCGATCAACACTGTGTAATCCCAATGGAACGCCGAATCGGCACACAACTTCTTCAACAAGCCTCTTGGCGACGGTCTGAGCCTCCTGGTTTGGTGTAGCAAATACTTCGGGCCATTTGGTGAAATAATCTTGAACCACCACAATGTAACGGTTTCCATCTTCTGTTTGTGGAAAAGGCCCAGCGACGTCAATGGCAATTCTTTCCCAAGGAGCGCCGACCTGGTAAAGCTGCATCTTCCTCTTCGATCTAGTACGAGGCCCTTTGACCGAGGCGCAAACATTACATTTCCTACACCAGTCCTCGACATCTTCTCGACAGCGCATCCAGTAGAAGCGTTCTCTCACTTTCACCAAGGTCTTCCTTATTCCCAGGTGTCCACCAGACGTACCATCGTGCATATGCCTTAAAACCTGAGACACTTTGCACCTAGGGACCACTGGTGACTCCCATTTCCGATACAGCAAGTCTTCTTGTAACAGAAGACTGTCCCATTGGGCCCAGTATGCCTTCGTGATTGGGCTTGAAGCTGATATGTCACTCCATGATGGTTTCCGTCCTTCAATTTTCCCCTTCATTATCAGCTGCAGGTCCTTGTCTTCCTTTTGCGCCTGAGATATTTCAGCTTTACTCCAGAATTCATCCAATTCTTGAGCCCTTATAACCTTCACTTAGTCTTTGTACTCGCATTTTAAACAGTGCTTACAATCTTCAGCACAAGGCCGCCATGATAATGCATCAGCATTGGCGTGCGTCTTCCCGCTTCGGTGTTCTATTGCGTAGTTGAATTCTTGCAGCTATTCGATCCATCTCGCCACTTGACCCTCAGGGTTCTTGAACTGGAGTAACCATTTAAGTGCTGCATAGTCTGTACGCAGAGTGAACTCTCTTCCCAGCATCATCTTTTCTTTGTAGAAAATTTCAGTGAAATTGTTTTGTTTGCAGATGACACCTCGCTAATTTTTAACGTTGACGGGTGAAAAACAAAATTATGACGATGTAAACAATGCACTTTCCAAGGTACTTCACTGGTTCTCTTCTAATAATCTTAGACTTAATGCGAACAAAACTAAATGTGTGAAATTTACTTTACCCAATGTAAAGCATGCTGAAATGAGGGATATAATTCTAAATGGTGAAAAACAAATTTTAGTCGATACAACCGTTTTCTTAGGCGTAACACTAGACCACAAACTTCAATGGAACCCTCACATTACAACACTAGCCGGTAAACTTAGTTCCGCTGCTTATGCAATCTATAAAATAAGACGGCTAACAGATGTCGACACTGCTAGGACAATATACTTCAGCTATTTTCACAGCATTATGTCGTATGGCATTCTATTGTGGGGCATGGCCGCTGCCATTGAAACAGTTTTTATTCTTCAAAAACGCGCTATAAGAGCTATTTATCGCTTGGGATCTCGAACTTCTCTAAGGGATAAATTTAAAGAAATAGGTATAATGACTGTTGCCTCTCAATACATTTACAATTGTATATTGTTTGTGCGTCAGAACATAAATTTATATACGAGGCGCGAAGATGTACATAATTTCAATACCAGAAATAAAGATAAACTTAAATTGCCACCGTTGAGACTCCAAAATGTTCTTGGTTCATTTGTGGGTCAAGGCATATGTTACTATAATAAAATACCAAAAGAAATAATTAATTTACCTTTCAATAAGTTTAAAGTGTGTATAAAAACATGTCTCCTTAAGAAAGGTTACTATACTGTTATAGTTTTCATAAATGATAAGTCACCTTGGGCTTAATATAACAGACTAAGTCGTTTTACTTTGCTGATTTGGTTGAAAATTGTTTAATCGCCACTTCTAAATTTAAAAGTAGTACCTAGGTATACTTAAATTTTGTTAATTAATAATATTAATGTGATGGAAGTTGACATCAACACATGTTTTCAATTTTTGATGTCATCTTTCAATTGACGACACTGTTTGAAACAAAACAGGGAGAAAAAAGTAGCCCTTGCTGAGTTTCTTGTCGGTTCTTCTCAGTACAAGGTCTCCCGCCGTAGATTTACGAACCGATGGCGTAGCGTTTGACTTTCACAAGAGCTTGTAACAGCCTAAACTGAATAAATGAGTTTGAGTTTGAGCAAGTACTTATTGAAGTGTTGTAGGGTCTTTACAACTGCTAGAAGTTCGCGTCGAGTTACACACTAATTTCTCTCTTGCTTTGAAAGAGACTTGCTGAAGTAAGCGATAACAGCTTGTTGTCCATTTTGTTCTTGTGACAGTATTCCGCCGATTCCAGTATTACTAGCATCAGTATCCACAATGAATCTTCCCTCTCTACGTGGATAGCTTAGGATTGGTGCAGAACAAAGTAAATTCTTTAACTTCGTGAAAGAACGCCGGCAATCTGTGTCCCAAACGAAGTTTCTCTTCTCTTCCATGAGACGATGTAATGGCCTGGCTATCTCAGAGAAGTTCTTCACAAATCTGCGGTAGTACGCACATAGGCCTAGAAATGCTCTCACTTCAGTCTTATTTCTCGGTGTTGGCCATTCCTGCACAGCTTTTACCTTTTCAGTATCAGTTTGGACACCCTTGTCAGATATTATGTGCATCAAGAAGGCTACCTCTTTCTTGAAGAACGCGTACTTTTCTGGATTGAGCTTCAGATTTGACTCGCGGAATCTTTTGAATACTTTCTCTAGATTACGTGTTCCGTGAAGCTGCGTCCCATAACGATCACATCGTCCAGGTACACCAGACAAGCATCCCCCAATAGCCCCACCAGCACACGTTCCATGAGTCGTTCAAAAGTGGCTGGTGCGTTACACAATCCGAAGGGCATGACCCGAAACTGCCACAGCCCTTTTTCAGTACCAGTAGTGAACGCAGTTTTCTCTTTATCCTCTGGGCGAAGTTTTATTTATTTATTTATTCTTTATTGCATGCCACAGATAGTACAAAAAACAACATTATCATAACCTGTACAAACATGTGACACCCTGCAAGGGCGTTGCAATTTTACTTAAATTATTATTATTAATTAAACAAACAATCAAATATATTATAAAAAAATTCAATTCAATTATTAAACACGCATCTTACCAAAATTAAAATTAAAAAATACATATATTTTACAATTTAAAAACTATAGATATTAATATACAATTTTCACACTCAGAATTTTTAATATAATATAGAGGTATGTCATGCAATTTTTTTTTTATTACTTCATTAAAATTATATATCAAATATGTTTATCTTGGAAAAATTCTAATATATTATAATATGATTTATTAATAAGATATTCCTTTAGACATTTTTCAAAAATTGTATCGTTTTCCAAATTTTTAATATTGTTGGGTATGTGATTATAAATTTTAATTATCATGGAGTGTGGAGAATTAGATACCAATTTCAAGTTTGAAAACGGGAGCTTCAGTTTATTCTGGTAGCGATCATTACGTCTTACTAGTTTTACTGGGGAGTATAATTCGATATGTTTTCTCACAAACTTGCAGGCTTCAGAGATGTATAGGCATGTTATGGTAAGTATTTTAAACTTTTTGAAGTATGGTTTGCAGGAGTCTGTCTGTTTTATATTTGCAAGTATTCTTATAATTTTTTTCTGGAGGACAAAAACATCACGAATATCCGTGCAGTTACCCCACA